ACGCAGACAACAAGTTTAGTATTTCGGGTATCAATTTGAGTAAGAATCCCTCAGTTTATTCTCTGTTATGGAATTGAAGTTTAATTAATAATAATACGGTATTTTGGGCAGTTTAATAAATATTTATGATTAATTACAGGTCACTAATGGAGCCAGAATCAGAAATTATTCACTGTTGATTCTGTTGATTTATTTTACAGTTTGAATGCATGATAATATCTGATTGATTGATCTTATAGTTTGAATGTATGTATTACTTATTTGATGTGATTATGGTTGAATTGAGAAACTAAAAATTAAAGGAAGTCGGGAAACTGTTTGATTAAGTGAATGGATGAAACAACAGTCGTATTAGATATCTTAGGAGATGGTGGACGGACCAGGTACACAGGAAACCCTACCGTGAACGTTGCCTCATATTGGACGGGGTATCGAGATTTGGTAATTTTGCACTCATACTGAATGGGGTATAGGGACGACCCGTTTCATCCTCATACCGAATGGGGTATTGAGATTTAGTAATTTGGTGCTCATACTGAAAGGGGTATGGAGACGGCCTATTAATTGAAAATGTTAAGGGAAATGATTCACGCGTTGTGGGGACATCCCTATGTACCCCCATAGATACCAGTATACTGATAAAAGAGAAAATTGTTGTTTCAACCGATTGCACATGAAATTATAATATATACTCTGTTATTGTCTCTATAGGTTATTTTTTTTAACATCTCGCTACGGTAAAGATGTGGTACTTCGTTCTATTTATGATAAACGATTTTGCTTAATTAAGAGCTCAATTAGTTGTTTTTATGATTTTTATCAATCTTCATTTATGTGCCGGTGAGTAGTGTAATATTCTTACTGGGTTAGTGTAATTCATTCTTTCATTAACCATTTCAGATCAAGAGAACCAGGATTTAGAGTCCGATCCACAAGAGGATTGCGAATAGAACGTTCAGTCGTTTAATTTTAATTTATTTTTTTGATTATTAATTGTTCTTTTAGAAGGGTTATTCCTGTAAGCCATATTTGGTACTTTCAGTTATTGTGTAATGAATGTAAACTCTAATTATTTATTTTGCTTGCACATTAAATTTATAATTTATTTATTTTTTAAATTTTCAATATTGTTACACACAAATTGAATTTGATAAAACCTATCTGACATCTAAATCCAGCTTAGAGGCACACCTATCCAATATCTCCTCTTCACTAAAATTTTCGACAAACTGAAGAGCTGTGTCAAAGCCCAATTCATTGCACCCCATGTAGGTCATGGTCATTTCCAACCAAAAGTGAGATAGCTATCAAATGTTTCCTCTTCAGCCCTAGACCAACTTCAATATCCAGCATATGGTAGCATTCACATGGTTCCTGTGGACATGAGATTCTCACGCTTGCCAAATGTAAAGAGCCAACCATAACAAGCAATGGAGTTTTGAATACCATTCACAATAGTGCATAAAAAATTATCAATGGGTTTATAACTAAAACTGCAAGAGAAGGATGTTCAAATGATGGAAATAAACGATTAGTCAAAAAATAACAATAATTTCCATATCATCATGTTAATAACAATTTGGTCTCAAAAGTATTGTACACTTACAAAAGATAGAACATAGAGAGGAGACGAGGAACAAGGTGAAGTAAGAAGAAAGGGGAATAGCAGGCAGTCAACATACAACATAGGAGAAGAGAAAACAGGATTACAAGCCTAGTAAATAATTCTCAATTTATTTCGGGTCCTATTCTTTAGGTAAGGGCCTTTATGTAGCACTAATTGCAACTGGTAATTAAAATATAAAACTAAAGAAGATAAAATAATAAATTTCTAAATATAACTAGTATTCCTAAATAATATAAATAATTTAAAAATATTAAGTGTAGAAATATATGAAAAGAATCAGAAGTTGACACATATCTCTAAAATTATTACGGCATATCTTTATAATTTATTATTGCATATTTTTAGGAATTATTACAGTATATCTTTAGGATTTGTTGCTGTAATTTTTAAGAAGTTAATTATTATTGATCGTGTAGTCATTTGCTCTTAAAATCAGGAAGAGAAATAGGAAAGTAAAACTCTATAAGTTCAGTTTTTTGTACCAACTAATTATAACAGAAAATGAAAAAGAAAAAATCTTCTTTTTTCCATCTGCATTCATGGTATCAGAGCCATGGCTTAGCTGGCCTAGCTTAAATACATTTCTTCCTTCTCTTTTATGTCTAGTTCTTTTTTCCTTATGATGCACAAACTACCATGCCTAGAACAATGAAGATAGGCAACATCAGTTCCAAAAAAGCCTTCCACTCCCCCCGCTGAGCAGAATGGGAACACAGAAACTGCTGATTCACTACCTTCATTCAGTAAGGAATAGTTAGAACAATTGTAAAAAAATTTTCAGTCCACACAATTCTCTAATCTTATACCTTTCTCTTGTTCCTTATCCTAAAAAGATAACTATCTTCAATCTATTGTCTTTAATGTGTCAACTATTCCCATTTGTCCTTGGATAATAGATTCAGGTACTACAGATCATATGACATATTGTTCTAAATAATTTTCTTTTTATAATTCTTGTGTAGACAATCAAAAAATTAAGATAGTCGATGACTCACTCTCAGCAATTGCTTGGAAAGAGTCAATTGTCATCTTTAATACTATTGTTCTTCATGATATCCTTCATGTTCAAAATTTTTCTTGTAATCTTTTGTCTACTAGTAAAATAACTTGGGACTTAAGGTGTTATGCTAAATGCCTTTCAAACTTTTATAAATTTCAAGATCTGGATACGGGGATAATGATTAGCAATACTAGGGAACATGTAGGTCTCTATTACTTTGATGACGGGAATTTTTTATGTCAGCAACTGAAATCCTCAAGTTTTGGATCATACTTTAATTCTAGTAATAATGAAATAATGGTATAACATCATAAGTTAGGTCACCCTAACTTTCAATATTTAAAATATTTGTTCCCAAACTTGTTTCATAATAAAGATTTATCATCATTTCAATGTGACATTTGTCAATTAACTAAACACCATCGTGTATCTTTTCCTACTCAACCATATAAACTATCTATGTATTTTTCTCTTATTTGTAGTTAAGTGTAGAGATCTTCCAGGACATTAACCAACTTCGGAAAAAAATAGTTTATAACATTTATTGATGATCATACACATCCAAATTGAGTTTATCTACTTAAAGAAAAATCTGAAGTAAAACATATTTTCAAAAATTTTTACAGTATAGCTGAAACCCAATTTCAAACAAAAATTCGAGTGGTTTGAAGTGACTATAGAAAGAAATATTTTAATAAAATTTGAAGTTATTAAAAAAAAAATTATTTATCATAGCTCTTGCAATGACACTTCTCAACAAAATGAGATACCAGAAAGAAAAAATAAGTACATTTTAGAAGTAGTTAGGCTTTTGATGTTTACCGTTAATGTACCTAAATATTTATTGGGAAAGTAATTCTTATTGCCACATATCTGATAAGTACATTTTAGAAGTAGCTAGATTTTTTATGTTTACCATTAATGTACCTAAATACTTATTGGGGAAGCAATTCTTATTGCCACATATCTAATCAATAAGATGTCGTCAAGAGTTTTAAAGTTTCAGACCCCTCTGACAGTTTTCAAAAATTTCTTTCCAATGTCTCGATTAACCTTAGATTTAGCGTTAAGGGTCTTTGAATGTGTTGCATTCATTCATATACATAATCATAATAGAGATAAATTATATGCACAAACGATAAAATATATATTTTTACTATATTCTCCCACACAAAGTGGTACAAATGTTTTGATGCTAGCAGAAAAAAATATTTTGTCACAATGGATGTTATATTCTTCGAATCCCAAATCTTTTTAGTCCTCCTCTTCAAGAGGGGGAAGGAAATGAAGACTCGGTGTTTGAAAAGGAAAAGATTGAAAAAAGTTTTGATGTTTATACTAATAATGAAAGTACAACTTTTAATCTTAACATTCTAGATAGGGAAAACAAGTGGTCCACCTTAGTGCCTGAACACAAAAAAGACACTAAAGAAATGGATTACGCATGCCTCAATTATAAGATATTGTTCGGAAAAACTTACACTAAAAGAAACTCAATTCGAAATAAGAAAAATACAGCCATGTCTCATCAAAACCAAGAATCTGATTCGATATCAAGATCTGAAGAATTAGATACAATCTCTATATCTATAAAGTCTGAGTTTTTTCTAATTCAATAAGTGCATTATGACCCTCTAGACTTCCCTATTGCTCTTAAAAAAAAATCTGATCATGTACTCAACACCCTTTATCAAATTTTTTATCTTATGAGAACTTATCATTTTCTTTATATACTGTTGTCTCACAATTGTTAAGTGTGAATATACCTAAATCTATGTAGGAAGCACTAAAGGTTCCTTAATAGAAGAAGTTTGTCCGTGAAGAAATGAAAGCTCTAGAGAAGAATGGTACGTGAGAAATGATTGATTTGCCTAAAGGAAAATTGCTTGTTGGGTGCAAGTGGGTTTTCATTATAAAGTTCAACTCATATGGATCCTTAGAACGTTATAAAGCAAGGTTAATAGCAAAAGAATTTACGCAAACATATGAAGTTGATTATCAGGAGACATTTGCTCCTGTTGCTAAATTGAATACTATTCAAATGTTAATTTCTATAGCTGTGAATTTATAGTGACCACTGTTTCAATTGGATATAAAAAATGCATTTCTCAATAGAGAGTTAGAAGAGAAAGTCTATATGGATGTACCACTTGACTCTGAAGAAAAATTTAGAGGAAAAATTTATAAACTGAAGAAATCATTATATGAACTAATGTAGTCTTCTTGAGCTTGGTTCGAGAGATTTATGAGGTTTGTTAAAAAAGAAGGGTATAATCAAGAACAATCTAATCATACAATGTTTGTGAAACACATTGGTGATGGAATGATGTAATATTTACCGAGAACGATGATGATGAGATCTATAGGTTGAAGAAACATCTTGCCTCAGAATTTGAAATTGAGGATTTGGGGTATTTACACTAGTTCTTGGATATAGAAATTGCAAGGTCAAATATGAAAATTTCTGTGTAAAAAAAAAAGTATGTTTTTAACATATTACAGGTGACGAGCATGAGTGGTTACAAATCAAGTGATACACCTATAGATCCTAATCAAAAGTTGGGAGATGCTCCTAATGGAGTTCTAGTTGATAAATGTAAATATCAACGTCTTGTAGGAGAACTCATTTATTTGTCCTATACAAGACCTGATATCGCCTTTGTGGTTAATGCCATGAGTCATTATAAGCACTCACCTTATGAGAAACATATGCAAGCTGTATATAAGATTCTCAAATATTTAAAAAGTACACTGAGAAGGGAGCTGTTGTTCAAGAAAAGTAATAAAAAGAGTATAGAAGTCTTTACAGATGCAGACTGGGCAATTTTACTTTTAGATAGATGATACATTTCTTGCTATTGTACATTCTTATGTGGAAATCTAGTCACTTGGCGAACTAAGAAGTAAAGTGTGGTCACTAGAAGTAGAACATAGGCTGGGTATAGAGCTATGAAAAATAGAATTTGTGAGGTTAAAGAACTAAGATTAGATGCAGAAGTACCTATGAGACTATTTTGTGACAACAAATAAGTTATAAACATTTCACACAACCCAGTTTAATATGATCGTACAAAATACATTGAAATTGATAAATATTGCATTAAAGAAAAACTGGAGAATGAATTTATTCGTATGCCGTTTGTGACTTCTAAACAACAAA